TTAATACTAGTATTGACGAAAAGCTTTTGATAAAACTAGTTTTGACTAGTTAAATCGGGCATTGACGGAATTCGAGTTCTAACGGTAACATATACACATGTCAGATTTTACTCGGTTCAATTTTTAATTTAATGAAATTAGAACGGAAAATATAACAATTGATTTTACGGATGAAGAACGTCGTACTGGCGAGGGATTTCGACGCCTGGAAAATTCTTCGTGCGATTTTATATAAGACCAAGACGATAGATCCCCCCGAGAATTGTATAGTCAAGCATCAAAAGTGGCCAAGCATCCACGTCTCCAGTTTATGTCACGTATATAAAGGCCTCTCGTAAACTATCTCCGACGATATATTGCATATAAGTATGAGACGACGCGTTAAACAGTTCGAGTGAGTGCAGTCATAACGGCAGCAGTAAATAAAATAATAATTCCGTTCAAATGGATATAGAGTTATAACAAAATTACGACGACGACAACAACTCCGAACCTACTTCTAATGTTACCTAAGTTTAAGTAAGACGCGCGACAACTATATAGTCTCTTAACAATGCAAGTCCGACCGTCGCGAATTCGTTCGATTTACGGCCATAAATCGCGACGCGGTATGGGAATGACCTATCGAGAACTATCTTTACATCGGTAAACCCTATCACAATTGACTCCGCGCAGACGGTATTTAGCGCCGGTGTCCCCGGTCGCCGGTCGTATCTGCACCGCGTCTCTGCCTATTTGTCTCGTCGCACGACAACGAACTCGGCCGGAATTTCCCGTCTGCGCGAGCGGAACGTAACGTCGCACGATAAAGGCACTCGGGGTATGGCACCCTCGCAAAAGTCGTAGACTCGCCCCCGGGGGACAATGCTCGGACCCACCATCCTTTCCGCTTCAGCGCGCCGTGCCTTCAGCGCCCGGCACGCACATGTGTGTGTATGCCGGTCCCCATGTAGCCGAAACGTGTCGGAAAATGGAATTTCTACGAAGGAACTTTGTGCACGTGTACCTCGTGAAGTGGTCCAGATAACATCGCCGACGCGTATACGAGTTGTCGCGTCTAAAAGATACATATGCAAATAACATCGCATGCAAATGTGTCGTTACGCCGAAATTGTTGATACCTTCAATATTGTTAGTTTTAAGATATCATATATTGGGATAGTATATTTGACTCGACCAAATCCGCTGTGTACGTGCGTAATAGAAATTCCATGTTCGAACATTTCTCGTACGTATCTCGCGATCTGATACCGTTTCTCATGTTCGCGAGCATAAAATTCGTTTATTTGCAAGGAATGCAACGAACAAAAATTCTACGAGGCATTAACGCGATATATGTGTAGAGAAAGACGAAGTATAATATGTTACATATTTTCCGAAAAAAAATCGTTTCTTGAAACTGGAAAAATATCTCTTTATCTTAAAGTGGAATAATTAAAGGGGCAAATTAAAAATGAGAAATAAATAAGAAATATAAAATTAAATATAAAATAAATGTAATAAATAAAAAAAAAAAACAATAAAAACCCATGTTATTTTAAAAACATATTCTTTTCTCATTATATCTACTTTTTTATCTGACTTTAATTATATTTAATTATTATGTATAAATCTCGTCTCTGTATTTTCATGTTTTTCCAGCAGAGCGTAATCACCGCAAATACAGGATTTTTACTATTTGCCGCGAATACACGTTTTACTATTTTTATAAATAACGTAAATCTTAAAATATAGAAAAAGCTCGCATTCTCTAATTTATCTTAATATTGAGTTATATAGACATAGTGCAATTTTAATACGTACGTATTTACACATGCCATTTTCAGATAAAAGCATGTGTAACAGAACTAGCATTCAATGTTTCTACTTCCGCTTTGAAATAAAAACTGATCAGGGACGATTCAGTTGAATATGTACGCGTAAGAGATTTTTCCAACTTCGAAAATCTTGAAACGCGATGAATTCGAGTTTCGCTTCGACGTCTCTTCAATGTAATTACTCGCGAAGGAAACTTCTCGGCACGAAAAGCCGTCTTTAAATCCGTACGTTGATTTAAATAAACATTTGACACACTCAGCAAAGTGACGTCGGACGGCTGCCAAACGTATATCTGTATGTCAAAAGCTATGTGCACGCGTTAATTCACTTTGCCGCTTTAATTACGGCTAATTAAATATTTCTACAGGAGGGGGATGGCGGGGGAACGAAAGAGCATTCTATCCGCTATATCGAATAGCGGACATTTGACGCCACCGCAGGCAAGTGTCGACTGAGCCACCCTCGCTTTGAACCCCGTAATCGACGCATTCGCAGTAATGATCCCGCGGTTAACGCTATAATGCGCGGCAGACGACTATCTTATTTCGCGTGTGCCCGAAATGGGATATTTCTCTTGGAATATATCTCTCTCTCTCTTGCTCCTGTACAAAAACCTGATGCAGAAGGATACTCGCGTGAAGAGCGCGGCTCACCAGTTCCCGAGTCTCGATTCAGATATGTAGCGCAGTCACGCGATCGTTCTCACAGGAGATATTCTCGGTCTGTCTGACATAATGCTGATAGTTACCACTTCACCGATCCACGGAATCGCATATCTTTCTTGTAAAAAAATCACCGGGCCTTCCACATGTATTTGCGCAAAATGTTGCTCTTCAATTTGCGAACCTTAAGCGTGTAAGCGTTCAATTTGCGTACTCGATTGTATTTATTCCACCTATATGCTAGCAATTCCATGGATACACCCTAATATTTTGGTTTTACATTGATAACGAGGGTGAGGAAAGAGCGTATGACAAAGATTTTCTTTTCACCTTTGTACATCGTTTCGCAATCTGTCCCGATACATCAATTTTATTCTCTTTTCCATTCACGTTCGTTACTTAGTCATGTCCGGCTCAATCAATAGGCTATTATTAGTGGATAATTGACTTATCGAAAAAAAAAATGGGCATACCTGCCTCATGCAACCCGGGCTTTCATTTCGGATTACAATGGCGCGGTGGGGGAAGCGCAAGCACGCGTATTACGCATCGCTGATCGTCGGAGGCATAATTGCGTGTAAACGAATACGCAGGCATGCAGTTAATTGCACATTATTTCAGCGTGACGCGCGCGGCCACGTCGTAAATAAAAAATGAAATGGAAATCTCTGTAACACCCGTGCAACATTCTTGCGGTTTAACGTCGAAACCAAAATTCGTTCATTTGAAACCGAGAAAACCGAGTATCCCGACGTTCTATACGTATATACAGCCGAGTAAATATTTATCTTCTATACAAAGAACGTGACAACTCCGCCAATTAAGAAATTTTTAGGGATCGCATCGCTTGCAGTAGAACTTTAGCCTTTGAAAATGTCTAACGAGATATGGGCGCAGGTGTACGTTCGAAGTTCCCGGAATTCGGCAAGTAAATTATCAACGAAAAGCAGAATGATACACAGTTAAAAGTTAAGTGTCTTTCCCAAGCAGTTCGATGGTTGATTCCAAGTTAAACTACAACATTTTTTTATGTAAAACGCTTTTAGAGTACTGCGAGAAAAGTAGAAAATTAAGGAGGAAAATCTCTCGCGAAGACGGAACGTATATACAAATAGAAGAAGATACAATAATTGTAATGTGCAGCGGCGTATCTCTAATTTCTGAGAATACGCGCCACTCGGGACCATAATCCTTTTTCTCCGGGAATTATCTAAGCAATTATTGTTTGCTCACAAGCGCACCGTTACAAGTAGTGTCCTACCTTTTGACTAGAATTAAAAGTTTACATGCGACTGATACAATTGTCTTTTAAGTTACCCTGCTTGCGCGAACTTTGATTGTGCCTATCCTAACTATACCGCGCCGGCGTAATCACTGATGCGATAAGAGAAAGAAAGTCTTGTCGCTGGAAATGCATCTGTGATTTCTAAATAGTTATCTCCCGCGTTAAATTTCGAATTTAGATCACGACGAAGTTATGGCATTCGTGGATTTCTATCCGAGATTCGAGATATTTCTGTTTCGAGAGAGGCAAGAGAGTTTCTAAAATTAAATAAATCTCGTCGCTGTAAAATAAATAGGATTGGATGACAAACGTTCGAGTGACGATGCCACGTCGATACGATCAGTGGTGCAAAGTGGATCGACAATTATGCTTCACGGTCCGTCAAGCTCTCCACGACGATGGGAGGCAGGGATGGTTAAGCTCCGAAGCAGAATGTCAATGAATAAACGTAAATTATGCACGCCGTAAACCAAGTGAGGAATTCTAATAATCGGTCGAAAGCTAAGCTTTATTGCTCACGTGTCGGTGGATGAGATTAATGAAATGTATACCGAATGTGATATATAATTTCCGCAGTTAATTATAACAAAACTAATGGCATTGTGTTACTAGTTATGTTATACTGCAAACCACAGTTTCTATTAAACTATGACACACACACACACACACACACACACACACACACACACACACACACA